ATGAAATTCTATTGTTAAAGATGTTAACTGACACATGGAATGCAATAACTGTTTGCAGGTTGTGTCGCATTAAAAATCAACAGGTTGGACCATGAACAACTGGAGCAGAGCATCTGAGCCCTACCCCCACGCACACACACACACACATATCAGAAGATAACTGAATTACTTTAGGTACAGACCACAGAAAAGGTCAAACCAGAACCAAGGAAAAACGTGTCATCCAGACCACAAAGGAGGCAATTACAAATTGTGTGAATGTTATTATACACTTTTCAAGGAAGTCATGGACTGTAAAGAGAAAAAGGTGAACATGTTGCTGATTTCAGAAATCATATTGAACGTAGGTTTGAGTTGTACAAAGGAAAAACAAGAACATTGAACACACACATATTGCATCTCTGGACGATTAAAAGAATGGCCACTGTTTGGACACACATTAAAGGTGTTGAAAAAAGGAGCCTACCAGGGCTGAGAAGATGGAAAAGGAACATTTATACACTCACACCATGATTGAAATCCTCATTTCTGATGATCAAAGAGTGCCAACATATTTACTGATGTTTTTCTAATATGTTTAATGATTAGTTCCTCACACACTAGATGGAGGACTAGAAATCCAGAATATGAAAATGACACTGTTGAATATTGCTAAGTACTGTACTGACATTGAATTATTTCAATTGATTGTGTACTATGTTTGGTAAAAGTATTTTTCTTAACAGGTTACAGTTTCAGAAATAAGACAGTGGTGAATCCATATATTCCTGATTGGTTATGAGTAATTATTAAGTTTGACTGAACTAAAATTTAGAGTTGACACTCTAAAAACATTGTTTAAATTGTTTAACATGATTAAGGGTTTATAATGTTAAAAAGGGCAGATTGTTATGGAATTTTATGATCATTCAAGAAGTTTATTAACATGTAAGTCTCATAGATGTTGTTTAGGCCAAAAGGCACAGAAAGGAAAGGAATGACTTGAAAAAGGGTCAACTGCTGAAGGCAGCTATGCTCACCACTCTTCCACCAATGCACTACAGATGACAATCTGCCGCTGTAAACGACACCAAAAAGCAGGAGCTATGCATCTCACAGGAAAAGAGGTTTCTACTTCAGAGGCTCAGTGGTCAAAGAGTTTTGATCTTGCATTTGTTTCACATCCCGTATGAGCTCATTCAAAAAGTTGTTCCATTGTCAGATTGGCCTCTATGGAGATAAAGGTATTGCTTTTGTGGCACATCAGAAACCATGCCTCTGTTCAATAGTCAGCAAACAGGGAGAGATGAATCATTTGCCGCTCTATTGGAGATGTTTGATTTTCATGACATCAATGAAAAATATAGAGACTATGTATGAGTTAGGACCTTGCATTTTTTGAGAAACCTGTCTCTAATATCACTTTTGCCAGACAACAATATGCTAGTTGGCAAGGAATGCTAATAAAGTTTTATCAGTCTCAAAGCCCAGTGTTCACAAAGAAGCATATTGAGACATTGTTTATCCTAAGTTGACATGATTAGAAATCCAATTAACACTAACTTCATCTGAAACAAGTAATTTGTTTCCACTTGTAGCTCCGATATGAAAAGCAATAAATTAAAAAAACTTAGCTGAAGATGGCCGAGAAGCTTCAAATACACAGAAGCAAATGCATTGGCCGGGAATCGAACCCGGGTCAACTGCTTGGAAGGCAGCTATGCTCACCACTATACCACCAATGCACTACAGATGACAATCTGCCGCTGTAAACGACACCAAAAAGCAGGAGCTATGCATCTCACAGGAAAAGAGGTATCTACTTCAGAGGCTCAGTGGTCAAAGAGTTTTGATCTTGCATTTGGTTCACATCCCGTATGAGCTCATTCAAAAAGTTGTTCCATTGTCAGATTGGCCTCTATGGAGATAAAGGTATTGCTTTTGTGGCACATCAGAAACCATGCCTCTGTTCAATAGTCAGCAAACAGGGAGAGATGAATCATTTGCCGCTCTATTGGAGATGTTGATTTTCATGACATCAATGAAAAATATAGAGACTATGTATGAGTTAGGACCTTGCATTTTTTGAGAAACCTGTAGCTAATATCACTTTTGCCAGACCACAATATGCTAGTTGGCAAGGAATGCTAATAACCCGGGTCAACTGCTTGGAAGGCAGCTATGCTCACCACTATACCACCAATGCACTACAGATGACAATCTGCCGCTGTAAACGACACCAAAAAGCATGAGCTATGCATCTCACAGGAAAAGAGGTTTCTACTTCAGAGGCTCAGTGGTCAAAGAGTTTTGATCTTGCATTTGTTTCACATCCCGTATGAGCTCATTCAAAAAGTTGTTCCATTGTCAGATTGGCCTCTATGGAGATAAAGGTATTGCTTTTGTGGCACATCAGAAACCATGCCTCTGTTCAATAGTCAGCAAACAGGGAGAGATGAATCATTTGCCGCTCTATTGGAGATGTTTGATTTTCATGACATCAATGAAAAATATAGAGACTATGTATGAGTTAGGACCTTGCATTTTTTGAGAAACCTGTCTCTAATATCACTTTTGCCAGACAACAATATGCTAGTTGGCAAGGAATGCTAATAAAGTTTTATCAGTCTCAAAGCCCAGTGTTCACAAAGAAGCATATTGAGACATTGTTTATCCTAAGTTGACATGATTAGAAATCCAATTAACACTAACTTCATCTGAAACAAGTAATTTGTTTCCACTTGTAGCTCCGATATGAAAAGCAATAAATTAAAAAAAAATTAGCTGAAGATGGCCGAGAAGCTTCAAATACACAGAAGCAAATGCATTGGCCGGGAATCGAACCCGGGTCAACTGCTTGGAAGGCAGCTATGCTCACCACTATACCACCAATGCACTACAGATGACAATCTGCCGCTGTAAACGACACCAAAAAGCAGGAGCTATGCATCTCACAGGAAAAGAGGTTTCTACTTCAGAGGCTCAGTGGTCAAAGAGTTTTGATCTTGCATTTGGTTCACATCCGTATGAGCTCATTCAAAAAGTTGTTCCATTGTCAGATTGGCCTCTATGGAGATAAAGGTATTGCTTTTGTGGCACATCAGAAACCATGCCTCTGTTCAATAGTCAGCAAACAGGGAGAGATGAATCATTTGCCGCTCTATTGGAGATGTTTGATTTTCATGACATCAATGAAAAATATAGAGACTATGTATGAGTTAGGACCTTGCATTTTTTGAGAAACCTGTCTCTAATATCACTTTTGCCAGACAACAATATGCTAGTTGGCAAGGAATGCTAATAAAGTTTTATCAGTCTCAAAGCCCAGTGTTCACAAAGAAGCATATTGAGACATTGTTTATCCTAAGTTGACATGATTAGAAATCCAATTAACACTAACTTCATCTGAAACAAGTAATTTGTTTCCACTTGTAGCTCCGATATGAAAAGCAATAAATAAAAAAAAAAAAAACTTAGCTGAAGATGGCCGAGAAGCTTCAAATAATGATTGGCCGGGAATCAAATGCATTGGCACTACAGGAATCGAACCCGGGTCAACTGCTTGGAAGGCAGCTATGCTCACCACTATACCACCAATGCACTACAGATGACAATCTGCCGCTGTAAACGACACCAAAAAGCATGAGCTATGCATCTCACAGGAAAAGAGGTTTCTACTTCAGAGGCTCAGTGGTCAAAGAGTTTTGATCTTGCATTTGTTTCACATCCCGTATGAGCTCATTCAAAAAGTTGTTCCATTGTCAGATTGGCCTCTATGGAGATAAAGGTATTGCTTTTGTGGCACATCAGAAACCATGCCTCTGTTCAATAGTCAGCAAACAGGGAGAGATGAATCATTTGCCGCTCTATTGGAGATGTTTGATTTTCATGACATCAATGAAAAATATAGAGACTATGTATGAGTTAGGACCTTGCATTTTTTGAGAAACCTGTCTCTAATATCACTTTTGCCAGACAACAATATGCTAGTTGGCAAGGAATGCTAATAAAGTTTTATCAGTCTCAAAGCCCAGTGTTCACAAAGAAGCATATTGAGACATTGTTTATCCTAAGTTGACATGATTAGAAATCCAATTAACACTAACTTCATCTGAAACAAGTATTTATTTGTTTCCACTTGTAGCTCCGATATGAAAAGCAATAAATTAAAAAAAAATTAGCTGAAGATGGCCGAGAAGCTTCAAATACACAGAAGCAAATGCATTGGCCGGGAATCGAACCCGGGTCAACTGCTTGGAAGGCAGCTATGCTCACCACTATACCACCAATGCACTACAGATGACAATCTGCCGCTGTAAACGACACCAAAAAGCAGGAGCTATGCATCTCACAGGAAAAGAGGTATCTACTTCAGAGGCTCAGTGGTCAAAGAGTTTTGATCTTGCATTTGGTTCACATCCCGTATGAGCTCATTCAAAAAGTTGTTCCATTGTCAGATTGGCCTCTATGGAGATAAAGGTATTGCTTTTGTGGCACATCAGAAACCATGCCTCTGTTCAATAGTCAGCAAACAGGGAGAGATGAATCATTTGCCGCTCTATTGGAGATGTTTGATTTTCATGACATCAATGAAAAATATAGAGACTATGTATGAGTTAGGACCTTGCATTTTTTGAGAGACCTATAGCTAATATCACTTTTGCCAGACCACAATATGCTAGTTGGCAAGGAATGCTAATAACCCGGGTCAACTGCTTGGAAGGCAGCTATGCTCACCACTATACCACCAATGCACTACAGATGACAATCTGCCGCTGTAAACGACACCAAAAAGCAGGAGCTATGCATCTCACAGGAAAAGAGGTTTCTACTTCAGAGGCTCAGTGGTCAAAGAGTTTTGATCTTGCATTTGTTTCACATCCCGTATGAGCTCATTCAAAAAGTTGTTCCATTGTCAGATTGGCCTCTATGGAGATAAAGGTATTGCTTTTGTGGCACATCAGAAACCATGCCTCTGTTCAATAGTCAGCAAACAGGGAGAGATGAATCATTTGCCGCTCTATTGGAGATGTTTGATTTTCATGACATCAATGAAAAATATAGAGACTATGTATGAGTTAGGACCTTGCATTTTTTGAGAAACCTGTCTCTAATATCACTTTTGCCAGACAACAATATGCTAGTTGGCAAGGAATGCTAATAAAGTTTTATCAGTCTCAAAGCCCAGTGTTCACAAAGAAGCATATTGAGACATTGTTTATCCTAAGTTGACATGATTAGAAATCCAATTAACACTAACTTCATCTGAAACAAGTTTCCACTTGTAGCTCCGATATGAAAAGCAATAAATTAATTTGTTTCCACTTGTAGCTCCGATATGAAAAGCAATAAATTAAAAAAACTTAGCTGAAGATGGCCGAGAAGCTTCAAATACACAGAAGCAAATACACAGAAGCAAATGCATTGGCCGGGAATCGAACCCGGGTCAACTGCTTGGAAGGCAGCTATGCTCACCACTATACCACCAATGCACTACAGATGACAATCTGCCGCTGTAAACGACACCAAAAAGCAGGAGCTATGCATCTCACAGGAAAAGAGGTATCTACTTCAGAGGCTCAGTGGTCAAAGAGTTTTGATCTTGCATTTGGTTCACATCCCGTATGAGCTCATTCAAAAAGTTGTTCCATTGTCAGATTGGCCTCTATGGAGATAAAGGTATTGCTTTTGTGGCACATCAGAAACCATGCCTCTGTTCAATAGTCAGCAAACAGGGAGAGATGAATCATTTGCCGCTCTATTGGAGATGTTTGATTTTCATGACATCAATGAAAAATATAGAGACTATGTATGAGTTAGGACCTTGCATTTTTTGAGAAACCTGTCTCTAATATCACTTTTGCCAGACAACAATATGCTAGTTGGCAAGGAATGCTAATAAAGTTTTATCAGTCTCAAAGCCCAGTGTTCACAAAGAAGCATATTGAGACATTGTTTATCCTAAGTTGACATGATTAGAAATCCAATTAACACTAACTTCATCTGAAACAAGAAATCCAATTAACACTAACTTCATCTGAAACAAGTTTTTTGTTTCCACTTGTAGCTCCGATATGAAAAGCAATAAATTAAAAAAACTTAGCTGAAGATGGCCGAGAAGCTTCAAATACACAGAAGCAAATGCATTGGCCGGGAATCGAACCCGGGTCAACTGCTTGGAAGGCAGCTATGCTCACCACTATACCACCAATGCACTACAGATGACAATCTGCCGCTGTAAACGACACCAAAAAGCAGGAGCTATGCATCTCACAGGAAAAGAGGTTTCTACTTCAGAGGCTCAGTGGTCAAAGAGTTTTGATCTTGCATTTGTTTCACATCCCGTATGAGCTCATTCAAAAAGTTGTTCCATTGTCAGATTGGCCTCTATGGAGATAAAGGTATTGCTTTTGTGGCACATCAGAAACCATGCCTCTGTTCAATAGTCAGCAAACAGGGAGAGATGAATCATTTGCCGCTCTATTGGAGATGTTTGATTTTCATGACATCAATGAAAAATATAGAGACTATGTATGAGTTAGGACCTTGCATTTTTTGAGAAACCTGTCTCTAATATCACTTTTGCCAGACAACAATATGCTAGTTGGCAAGGAATGCTAATAAAGTTTTATCAGTCTCAAAGCCCAGTGTTCACAAAGAAGCATATTGAGACATTGTTTATCCTAAGTTGACATGATTAGAAATCCAATTAACACTAACTTCATCTGAAACAAGTAATTTGTTTCCACTTGTAGCTCCGATATGAAAAGCAATAAATTAAAAAAAACTTAGCTGAAGATGGCCGAGAAGCTTCAAATACACAGAAGCAAATGCATTGGCCGGGAATCGAACCCGGGTCAACTGCTTGGAAGGCAGCTATGCTCACCACTATACCACCAATGCACTACAGATGACAATCTGCCGCTGTAAACGACACCAAAAAGCAGGAGCTATGCATCTCACAGGAAAAGAGGTTTCTACTTCAGAGGCTCAGTGGTCAAAGAGTTTTGATCTTGCATTTGGTTCACATCCCGTATGAGCTCATTCAAAAAGTTGTTCCATTGTCAGATTGGCCTCTATGGAGATAAAGGTATTGCTTTTGTGGCACATCAGAAACCATGCCTCTGTTCAATAGTCAGCAAACAGGGAGAGATGAATCATTTGCCGCTCTATTGGAGATGTTTGATTTTCATGACATCAATGAAAAATATAGAGACTATGTATGAGTTAGGACCTTGCATTTTTTGAGAAACCTGTCTCTAATATCACTTTTGCCAGACAACAATATGCTAGTTGGCAAGGAATGCTAATAAAGTTTTATCAGTCTCAAAGCCCAGTGTTCACAAAGAAGCATATTGAGACATTGTTTATCCTAAGTTGACATGATTAGAAATCCAATTAACACTAACTTCATCTGAAACAAGTAATTTGTTTCCACTTGTAGCTCCGATATGAAAAGCAATAAATTAAAAAAAACTTAGCTGAAGATGGCCGAGAAGCTTCAAATACACAGAAGCAAATGCATTGGCCGGGAATCGAACCCGGGTCAACTGCTTGGAAGGCAGCTATGCTCACCACTATACCACCAATGCACTACAGATGACAATCTGCCGCTGTAAACGACACCAAAAAGCAGGAGCTATGCATCTCACAGGAAAAGAGGTTTATCTACTTCAGAGGCTCAGTGGTCAAAGAGTTTTGATCTTGCATTTGGTTCACATCCCGTATGAGCTCATTCAAAAAGTTGTTCCATTGTCAGATTGGCCTCTATGGAGATAAAGGTATTGCTTTTGTGGCACATCAGAAACCATGCCTCTGTTCAATAGTCAGCAAACAGGGAGAGATGAATCATTTGCCGCTCTATTGGAGATGTTTGATTTTCATGACATCAATGAAAAATATAGAGACTATGTATGAGTTAGGACCTTGCATTTTTTGAGAGACCTATAGCTAATATCACTTTTGCCAGACCACAATATGCTAGTTGGCAAGGAATGCTAATAACCCGGGTCAACTGCTTGGAAGGCAGCTATGCTCACCACTCTTCCACCAATGCACTACAGATGACAATCTGCCGCTGTAAACGACACCAAAAAGCAGGAGCTATGCATCTCACAGGAAAAGAGGTTTCTACTTCAGAGGCTCAGTGGTCAAAGAGTTTTGATCTTGCATTTGTTTCACATCCCGTATGAGCTCATTCAAAAAGTTGTTCCATTGTCAGATTGGCCTCTATGGAGATAAAGGTATTGCTTTTGTGGCACATCAGAAACCATGCCTCTGTTCAATAGTCAGCAAACAGGGAGAGATGAATCATTTGCCGCTCTATTGGAGATGTTTGATTTTCATGACATCAATGAAAAATATAGAGACTATGTATGAGTTAGGACCTTGCATTTTTTGAGAAACCTGTCTCTAATATCACTTTTGCCAGACAACAATATGCTAGTTGGCAAGGAATGCTAATAAAGTTTTATCAGTCTCAAAGCCCAGTGTTCACAAAGAAGCATATTGAGACATTGTTTATCCTAAGTTGACATGATTAGAAATCCAATTAACACTAACTTCATCTGAAACAAGTAATTTGTTTCCACTTGTAGCTC